CTTACGCCGTGTGTGTGAACATAGCCTTATGCTTACCGTCCAATCCACTCCCACCCCCATCACGCTACAGTACAGACGTATACTAGGCAACATAACGTGATATTGCACTTCCTTCCCAGGTGTTCATGTACAATATTGTATTCCTTTGTGAAAATGAGTACCGCGGCGTAAACATTTGCATCCCCTCTTGGAAAGATGGAACTTCGAAGTAATCGCTAATTAATCACCGTAATTTAGCTTACACTTATGCATGGAGCAACTGGAGCACTTAAAATGTACAATAATCATTTCACTACCCGACAAATCCAAAACTTTATTCATATGTCACTGGCGCATGGTAACAACCAACTGACTGCAGACCATTTCCGGTCACACATTAACGCAGCACCCCCTAGTTCCGTCACCTCTGGATGTGGAAGAAATGAATTTACAACAATCTATTTTTCTCGTATAAATGTATTCGGTTTTTACTGCATTTTGTATTTCTTTTTGTTGTGCGCGATTGCTTGACTTGGTTCTGATTTCTTCACAGCAGATTTTAGCCATGTTTATAAAAAGTGTCCCATTAATAGCGGACACTTTAAACCAAAAAAATAAAATTGTAAACAAATACTGGTTTATTATTTACAAATAGCAACAATCACATTAGAGCTTTCTATTAGATGGATGTTGCATCATGAATAGAGTAATATATTTTGATATGGATTAGAATCATGTGAAATACACGAAAAACAAAGAAAAATAAATCCCATTGTTAAGAGTCAAAATTGACAAGATTAGTTACTGAAGTAACACATGCAATAGGCCTATACTGTTATTCACTCATGGATTAAGGGAGAAAATTATGGTTTATTGCTCAAAAGGTGTCAAAATGTAAAGTTGAATGAATTTTTCTTAATTTCTTCTTTTTTTTTTCTTAGTGCTGTAAATGTTCTGATACAATGAAAAAAAAATTAAGTGTCCCCTTAGTAGAGGTTATTTGACCATTTGGCACACTCAAGAAAGTGTCCCTTTAATAGGGGTTGGCTGTAGTGTTAAAAGATATATTTCCCCTCGTTTCACGGAAAAGTTCCCCCTTAATAGGGGTGTCCCCTGAATTGGTGTGTCCCAAATGAGGATCCTGCTGTATTTTAGACAAGAATTCATTGTGCGTATTCAGCGTGAATTTCAAGCCTTTTTTTAAACTGCATTTGACAAACTATACAGTTTTGAATAAAATGTAAGTGCCTACTCAAAAGCGGTAGTATTTTTCACGTTGCCAATTCATTTTAATGTACATTTTTCTTTTAAAATAGACATCAGCAAAAAAAGTAAATAACCTAATTTTAGCATACCATTCAAGGAAAATACAAAATAAATGAGATTGATGATATCACTGTGTGCTGTGCTGAGGGCGCTAGATAGAAACGTGAATAAAAAATACACAAAACACAATGAGGTATCATATTGTATGTAGTTTAATTTCCAAGTACCTACGCTTGATTTTTGTCTATTCATCCTTACATACGAAACATTCATACTGTCGTCTCTTGTAGCTCACACAAAAATCTATACATTTTCTCAGAGTTTCTTTGTCAACGTTTAAAATTTACATACAGTTTCGGTCTAATATTTAATTTATTGGAGTAGCCAACAATTAACATAAACCCCCCTTTATAAAGGTTTGTCCCTTTTCTAAGCCAAGTACTGAAATAATCTATGGAGAAATGATAAATGAACTGGAAAAATATTAATGTGAGATTAATTGCAAAACAGCAACATCATTGTAAAGCATCAGCAACAATATAGCACCGTGAAAATAAAGAAATACTTGCTTAAAATATTTTCATTATTTATGGAATTATTGCCTCATATGACTCCATGTCAAAAAACAAAATATTTGTAGATGAATAGAGTACTTACAACTTGAATGCTTCTGAATGAAATAGACAAAATGTGAAGAGTAAACATTCAGAAATAAGGTTATACATGTCAGCAAGTCAAATCAACCTTAAGATAATGGACATTTCTGTTAAGCCCCACCCTTTGGATATTGTTGTTAAGTTTGATTGACACTCCGGACAAGCCCATTTACCTTGCACATCATATGTATTCATAAATCACATGATACACCTGTCTTTATGTTAACTTGTTACCAACAATTTAATTGGATTGGAGGTAGGGCACATAAGAGCAATAGCATTCAAGGGACTGTTGTCGCCCTCAATGCAAAGCCTCCTCAAGTCTAATTCCGAATTTATTAATGTCTCATAATGCGAATAAATCAACTGAATAACCAATAAAAAAATCAATCAATCAGTCCATTAACTAGTCAATTGACCAATCAACTGACCACCAAATTTAGGGCTCATAAAGAAAGCTGCATTTGATTTTGTACTGATTTTCTGATTAACCCACAATGTAAGAAAAACATACCATCATTAAAACTTCATACTTACTATCAAGGAGTAACAAAATTAAGTGGTAATATTTAAAAGTTCAAAAACAAATGGCAATGTAGTTGCCTCATTACATATTATATAAAATGTTTCTGTATAAACATTACATTCCTTGTTTATCCCATATTAATCGTTTGAACTACGTTGTTTTCTTAGATTTCAATAATTGTTAAATAAAGCTCTATCCACACTATCAAATTTTCTTTGACAAAAAAATGTGACAAGCCCATATATAGTAACGCTATGCCTATATATGGTCATGTTGTGATGTCATCATGCCCATATATGGTCATATCACACTTTTTTGTCACACAAAATTTGATAGTGTAGACAGAGCTTAAGATGGAGATTAAGCTTGAGCCTTAATTTCATTGCAACTATGTTGAAAATTAAAAATGAGGAAGGGGATAGAACAGTAAACTATACAGCTGAACACATAGGGACAGGGAATACAACAACACCAGATATCTTACATATGCTGAAGTTCACACATCTGTTGTTTGAGGCAGAGATGAGAAGAAATTAACAATCTCCCCTAAGATGTCCAGCTCCATAAAACATAAGACAGCATAAGAATAGTTTCACAAAGATAGCATTGTATAAAAGCAAACAACCGAATGAATAAACTAATAACTTTAAAAATAAGACATCTATTTGTCCTTTCGTAAGCATTGCACTTACATTTTATATGCGTTCTTTAAATTTAGATCACCGTTTTATAGTTACTTTTAAAACATCTACCTTTTAACTATTATTCTAAGAGTCATATTACAACTACTAGAGTGAAATTCATTTCACAGTCCTCTTAGAATAATCCATACATCCATACAATTGAATACATAGTAAAGAAAAATTAGTTTAAAAAACAGGGGTATTATACTAGAAGAAAAATAACCATTTTCTATAAATATCCTGCACTTTGTAAAGCAATAGTTGTTTCCTAGCACAATATACATGATTGTTTTGTCTACATTAATAGTAGTAATTACTGATATACTATTTTGCCTACATTAACAGCAGTAATTACTGATAGACTTTTCTGTCTACATCAACAGTATTAATTACTGATAGATATTTTTGTCTACATTAACAGTAGTAATTACCGATAGCTGGCATGGTAAAAAGAAAAAAATATAGCCAGAAATAAAAATGCTAAATTAGTAAATGGATTAGGTTTAACATGTAGGGTAAGTTGATTTACTTTAATAAATAATTAAATCTATATGCTATAAATTATTATTAAATGTTCCACCATTTTGAAGGTTTGGATTTGTGTGGTCTGCTTCACACAGGCTCCCTGTGTTGTCATGGTGATTCTCTTCCCTGGATTCGGTGTGGTGATTCATAACTACTGACCCCTACAAGAACAATGTTGTCAGTAAATTATTTATTTGTTTGCTTTGGACCGTATGCCACCATCCTACACTATCACTTGGTTACTCTGATTTCAGCGTCACACGCAAACATACCAAAATTAAAGGTTTTGTGTATATTTCATATAATATGCAAACTAAAAATGAAAAGAAACCAAGTTTATATGATGGTAACAGCAAATCTGAAAACAGAGTACTGTAGCTAAATACATGCCATCAATGTACATCATCACCTATCACTTCATTATAACCATACAGTACACTACCATCATCAGGCATCATCATTATACACCATCCACTGTCACTATAATACCATCATTAAACATATAGACCATTACCATACACTATTATCTTAGACCAGTCTCATACACCATCACCATACATCATCATCACACACCATCACCATACACTGCCACTGTATACCATCACCATATACCAATGTACACCATCCTAGTTATCTATTATCTTAGACCATCAATATGCACCATAAACATACACCATCAACGATCCCCTTACACCAATTATACCAATCACCATTCTCTTTTTAGGTTTGAATGAAATCATGCTACTTACTGGAAACACTGGAGCCCTGACAACCGCTAAACAGTCAGAGGGGGACTGGTTACTACGAAGGGCATTACTTGAGAGAGATGTAGGTGAATTAAATGGAGTACCTAAACATAGACAATCAAGGAAAATAGAGCATAGTTTTTTAACACTGTGACTTGGTTAAATCTTCCAGAGTGTGTGCTAATACTGCTTTTTCACAGCTATCTTAAATCTAACATATTATTAATATCCAAGTGTGAGAAAGCTGTATCATATGATGATATAAAAGGCTCTGTCCAAATAAAAATAAATGTGATATGGCCATTTTTTCGGTGTAATATATCATCACAACCATATATGGGCACATCATACACATTTGATAGTGTGCAGAGAGCTAAAGAGTTACTCTTCGTCTTGGTCAGAATGAATCCAAGGTGAACAGGGTTTAAGATAGTGATTTAACAACCAGTGTTGGCCAACTCAATGAATAGAAGGTAAAAGGTCTACTTACCTAAAGCATTGCCACCTATACTATTCTTGGTAGGAGACCCAAATGGATTGTTAGACGGGCTTTGTGCAGGTGTTGGAGCCATAAAACTATTTCCTAATGAAGACAGCTGCTGTGTTAGGCCTAGCATCCCTCCCTCTTTGACCTCAAGTATTACCCATATTGTATCTGCAACAAGCAAATAAAAAACGCATGCTTTTTTTAAAATGATACAAAATAAATAAAGTGATGGTGAAAATATCACATTTTTAGTTTCTGATTATATAGTAGGAATCATTTTATATGAAGATATGTGAAAAATATGTGACATAATTACTGCTCCTCTCTGCAACCTGAAGGTTTCCAATACCTCCCAGACTTACCTCCAAAATATGTACCACTAGCTGTGGACATTCTCCACTGGCCCCCGTAAAGCCCACACTGTGATGGGCTCTGCATCCGTACACTGACGTCGGTCATCTCGCCCGGTTGTAGAGACTCAACCATCACACGATCTGTTGGGCCTAACTGATGACCTTGTATATACCTTAGACATACACCTTCTGGCCAGCTCTGGTCAGCAACTACAAACAATGGAACAGAAAATAATGATAAGGATGAAATTACTTTGTAATTCCCTCAAACAAATACAACATTAATAGAAGTAATAGTAATGCAGATATTCAAAGTTAGGCAAATTTGCAGATGAAATTTTTGAAAATTCAGGCTTTAGGAATATGGGACTCAATCTAGGTATGGTAATAAGATAAAGCAATGGGAGAGCTTAGGGAAATTTAGACTTGCCACAAGTGCCTTATTATTATTTTTTCTCATTCTAGACAGCACCACCAATGAGCAAGTTAATTTTGAGACAGAAAAGGGACTTGTAAAACACTGCATGCAGATACCTGGATGCAAAAGGTATGACGTAATCTTATGTATCTGGATAAATGGGCAGACCGAAATAAATAATTTCAACCAATCACTATGCTCACATTTTTAAAGCCACAAACGTGTACAGAAACTGAGTCACGTCTTGCAGTGACTAGTTAGGCATGGCTAAAAAATAGATTCTACACAGGACAAGTGGGCAATGGCAAAGACGAATTAAGCTTAGGCTAGATGTCCCATATTACAAATGTACAGCACAAGTTTCCGGGAGGATGGCCTACTAGGCCTCCTAGTCTAATAGTAGAGAGAGGCCTGGTAGGCCATTAAGTTCTTACTTAATAATACTGTACCTTTTTAACAATGTTCTACAGTTTATTACTAGAACTACGGTTATCAGTCAATTACGTCGTTCAGCTGGCCAATAACTAATTTTAACTAAATTAATTCAAGTAGGTATGCAAAAGGCAGTTGCCTAGCTTAGGTGTCGAGACACCGCACAACTTTAATTTGAAAATTACCAAGATTAATTCATATGCATGAAGTCAGCCAATCACATGACTTACAAATTCAGTAATGCATACGCTATCACACATTGAATTTGATGTGTTAAATCGTACGCATGAATGATTAGGCAGTGTTGGCGAAGGCCCTAATCAGAAAAAAAATTGAGTATGGGACGCCAATAAAATAAGTTATAGAGTGCCCTAAAGAGTGAGAACAGGTAACCCAAAATTAGGGCCTAGAACCCAGGCTAGAGGAAATTGTACTCTCTCTTGACAAAAAAAAAAAAAAAAAAAAAAAAATATACGCTCAAGTGGTTAAAAATCACCTCATTATATCACTACTGTATATTATGCCAGCTAGTGCCTCTTCTGACCTAATCATCAAGCCCCTAGACTTAAATTTTACACCTCCCCCACCCCATTAACCAGAGGCAGATCCAGTAGGGGAACACGTTCCCCCTGTTTTGACATTAAATTTTTAAAATTTCAATGCATATCAGTGTTATATGTTACTCACTTCTATTCTATTCTGAAACTGTCATGCCCCGCGTTTGAAAAATTCTGGATCCGCCCCTGCAATTAACCAACCCATAGCAGTGCTCCTAGATACGCCATTTATTATACTAATGTTAACACGTTTGCTGACAGACTCAGCACCAAGGACGTGAGTTGATGTCCACACCTGTCCAACCTACCACTATTGCACATAAACTCGCGCCCTGGAGGTTCAGGGAAGGACTCGGAAGTAATGATAAAAAAATACTACTGTATGTTTGTTCATGCTTCACTACAGTTGATGTAAATGATTTGTGGCACCCTTAATGCCATGGGATGGAACTAGGAAAAAAGGCTTATGCAGTCAACTTGTTAATCCTCATTTATGTAATTCCAACACAATCTTGGTTTAAAATAAAATCCAAATAGATAGCAGGTAAATGCATATTCCGGTAATGAATGAAGGCTAGAGATTCATTATTTATGTCTAGTAGAGTTTCTAAAGTCCTTTTATTTTCATCTGTGCATTGTTGTGCATTAGATGATTCCATTACACTAGTTATATTGCATAGACAATAAGACAAATCACCTGGATTTTGTATTCGCCAAGTCTTGATAAACTCTGTGTTAGGTGGAACTGATTCACCTTCTCCTATCGTAATGTCGCGTACAAATGTCATTGACGGTAACCGCTCCCTGGGTGCTTCTAAATCAAAATATGCACCTAATGCTTCTTGTAAATTCCTATAAAAAGATGAACGATGCTGTTAAATGAGAATGGATTAAATAAAGATGACATTATGATAAACCAATTTACACTGATATATAATTAAATATTCATAGTGATTAAATGAATATTCATAGTAATTAACTGAATATTCATTGCTATCATTTAATTGGATATTAATTGCCCAGTAATATAGACAAATTATTATGCGAGCCAACCAACAATTAGACGACAGTCGCTTTAACTCCAAGATATATACAGCGACTGCCAAAGCAATTTTATGTGTCTGCTATCAAGAACAGGCGTTTCAAATCCCTGTATCAAACACTGTTCAAGGCCTATTCTTTTGGCAGAATGACATTTCTACAAGGTCATACTTCGGTCAACTTGTATCAACGTTCAATACCCGTATTACTTCAACCTTATTTAAACCATTTTAAAGACCATATTTTATTATATATATATATTTTTTTACGAACGCCTTTTACGTTCTTTAGAAGGACGCCCTCTAGTTCACGTTAGTACTCTTTTGAAGATAGGATTGCGTTCCAACGAAACCACAAGAATGAGACCTTTTGCAATTCTTTACTCTTTTCTAATACATAAGGCTCACTGGAACAGTACTCACTGTGAGTACTGTTCTGTGATATCTCACTGGAACACTACTCACAGGATATCCAGTGAGTATTAACAATACAATTTAAAGGTAGGTTGTTGGTTGAGTACGAATATGGTTTATATGGGATTCTAAATTCAGATCTTCAGGTACTGTTTTAACCATTGGAATTCTCAGTGAAATTAGCTTTATATTCTGTGGGGAATGTATATAATAGTAGTACATCCTATTGTAAAGCAAATTAGCAACTCCTTGATTTATGATTAATGTGAAATAAACATTAGAAAATAAGTAGAGTTTGATAAACTGTTGACACCAACAGTTATTTCTGAATTAAGCAATATTAGTTTTCCTGCCATCCAATGGATGTCACTTTGAGATTTTGATAAAAACCAACAGTTTGAAATGTAATTGTGTAATTACAAAAATCTAATTTGTAATTGTAATGTAATTGTAATAATGTAATTGTACACCCATTTACATTTAAAAATGTAATGATTACAATTGATTAATATTACAAATTATGATCACCCCATGTCTGAGGTATTGGTACTGGTACGGTGCACATAATACCAATACCTTGCGGTTGCAAAGTGTAATCAGCATTTCATGATCTTTTTGACAAATTACTGATACTGTACGGTACCTACTTACAGTATTTTAATGAAGAAACTTCAGAATAACCCTAATCAGTATTCAGTGAATTTTAGTAAAGTGTAAACAATCTTAAATAATTAAAATAAATCAAAAGAAATGAGTGAATTAATCTCATTCTAATATTAGATTTCATTGCACTATACATTGAAATATGTATCTTTTATATAAAATAATAATCTCTCAGATTCTAACACTGTATTGTACCAAAAAGGATATAGTCTTAAATGCCCCTCCCAACCAACATCTGTGATTTATGTTAGTAGACACTTTTATAGCCAAAATTAAATTAAGATGAGATAGATATGAAGTTATAAAAAGACTGACTCACATGGTACTTCATAGTGTTATCTGTACAAAATCAAAACAAGACACAATTGTTTCTGTCGATCAATGCACTCAATTCGTTTCAACCCTTTTTTGCGGCCAGAAACGTGCCAAAAATAAATTAAACAGGAAGAACCCTACGTCTGTGTTTTTCTTTCTATTTTTTACGAGTGGATCAGACACTTGTCTGTCTTCCTTTATAATATTTGAATTATGGCAGTTAATCTTTCTTTACAACTGTACCAAAATAATATGTTGTCTTAAACTCACTGTAAAAACAGTAAATAGTGTGTAAACCCATTTGTTTCTTTTAACTTTTCTTCAACAGTGACTTACTGTACTTCCTTTGAAAATAAGGTGAGTCTTTTTTTTAAATAATTTTTGAAACATCATCAGAGGGATGAAAAAAAAATGTTTTTATTTAGCAAATAGTTTTGCCAAAAACATCTAGACACAGTAGAAAATAAAAATGTGGCAAAGACAAGCCAAACAAGTCACTCGTCGCAAAAATCAATTTTGAGTTATTAATACAGTGTTAGAGAGTAAAATAATAGCTATAAAATGGTAAAAAAAAATCATTCAAATCGGACATTTCCTTATGAAGTTACAAGCGTTTAAACATACAACTGTTTAAAGAACAATATATGAGAAATCAGCCTTCAAAGTTTATGATTTCAGGCATTTCTCATGCAGAAACTATCTTCAAATCCTTAAAAAGTATTGTTTTAACATTGAAAATGGGGAAAATAACAACATAGAATGATGTATAGATATATAAAGGTTCGTTTAGTGCAATAAAATAGATTTTTTACAATTTGACATTCCAGCATGTTTTTGCCATTTTCTTTGAAACACGATTTGCGACAAATGACTGGTTTGGCTTGTCTTTGCCACAAATAAAGTTTTACTGGTGAATGCTAACGAGTGTAGTAATGATATGGTTAACTGCTTTAAATTTATATAATTAGGAAGAAATGTATATACCTTATTTTTGGAGATTTCAAGGCAGTGGTCGTTGTAATAAAATAAAGAAAAACCTATTTTTTTCCTTAAATTTCCATTTTTTTCGTGGCGGTGGTGTGCTAGTTGCCTAAAAATAAGATTCTATTTTTATTCGAAATCATATTAATGGCAAGTGGCATGTTCGCTAAACAAGGTAAAAAAAAAGAATATCGTCTAAGGCGCTTTCTTTAATGTTATTTTTAAATAATTTGTATAAAACACACTGTTATGATTGTTTCTTGATAATATAGTCATTTTGCAGTCAACTGCACACGTCTGTCACATGGAGTGACACATTGAACCCTTTGGTTTATGGCTTGACTTTTAATATCATTTCCTTTCCATGTGCTAGTAGATTTCATGTTGACACCTTCACAAGACTTGCAGTGTAATACTACTACAGCAGGATCAATCTCTGGTCAATGTTGTTTTTTTTTTAAAGTACAGTACACCGAGGTTCAAATATATTACACTGAGATTCAAGTACAGTACTGATCAAGTACAGTAAATTCAAGTACAGTAGGCCTACACTGAGATTCAAGTACATTGCTGAGACTCAAGTACATTATACTGACATTCAAGTATATAGTACACTGACATTCAAGTAAATAGCCGTCCCATGGCAAAACAAAGTAAAGTAATAAACTGCTTTTATATTTTTGTTAAGTTACCTTGTTTTGCCTTGGAATGGATGTACATTATAATGACATTCAAGTACAGTAAATTTAAGTACAGTAAAATGAGATTCAAATATATTACACTGACATTCAAGTACAGTACACAGAGACTCAAGTACAGTACACTGAGATTCAAGTACAGTACACTGAGTTTCAAGTACAGTACATTGAGATGAAGTACTGTACAGTACACTGAGATTCAAGTATAGTACACCGAGATTAAAGCACAGTACACTGAGATTCAAGTACAGCACATTGAGATTAAAGTACAGTACATTGAGATTCAAACACTGATATTCAAGTACAGTACACTGAGATTAAAGTACAGTACACTGAGATTCAAATACAGTACACTGAGTTTCAAGTACAGTACATTGAGATGAAGTACTGTACAGTACACTGACATTCAAGTACAGTACACTGAGATTAAAGTACAGTACACAGAGACTCAAGTACAGTACACTGAGATTAAAGTACAGTACACTGAGATTAAAGTACAGTACACTGAGATTCAAATACAGTACACTAACATTCAAGTACAGTACATTGAGATGAAGTACTGTACAGTACACTGAGATTCAAGTACAGTACACTGAGATTAAAGTACAGTACACAGAGACTCAAGTACAGTACACTGAGATTAAAGTACAGTACACAGAGACTCAAGTACAGTACACTGAGATTAAAGTACAGTACACTGAGATTAAAGTATAGTACACTGAGATTCAAGTACAGTACACTAACATTCAAGTACAGTACATTGAGATGAAGTACTGTACAGTACACTGAGATTAAAGTACAGTACACAGAGACTCAAGTACAGTACACTGAGATTAAAGTACAGTACAGTAAGTTCAAGTACAGTACACCAAGTTTTAATACTTAGAGTTCTTTTCCCCAAGTACACTGACCAAGTACAGTACTGAGATAGTTCTTTTTTCCTAATATTGAATAATACTGTAGGGTCTACTTACAAAATAATGGAAAATTTCATGATAATGGTGATTGCTGTAGATCAACTTTAAGAACTTTTGTACTGTTTTCAGTAAAAAGAAAATCGGTAATTGAAAAATAATTTGTTTTATTGTGTTTATTTGGAAGTTAATGATTTTTTTTTTAATTTTTAAAGGTTTTTAAAAGATTTCTCTTGACTACTCCTCCTTCATTACAAACTTACTTTCTCTGGCACATTAATTTTTCTATTGAAACACTTCATGTGCCAACTGTCTGCACTACGATTATAAGGTCAAACTGATTTACACATTTGCCATGCACTGCACTCACAAAAACAGTTTTGTAATGCAGTTGCATAATAGATTTCATATATTTTATAAATCAGCTTTTCTAGGCTTATTTTGTTACAACTGCTGTAACTAAGAATTCGGGAGACGAGAGTTTCGCTGATAAGCCCAAATCTCAGAAATGTTGAAAATCCATGTTTTCTTTCATGCATTACTGTATTTGATTGAAAGCATTTTACAGAAGATCTTTCTAGGTATCATACTATCAGTAATACTCAGAAAGCCTTTATATGGCAACATCGATGTCAGTGAACAAAGGGAAAATTGACAGAAATATTAACTTACTCAATTATTGGTAACAAAAAGGCAAAGCCGTTTTTGGTATTTTGGGGTTAATTCGGGAGGATTCGATAAAACAAGGGAGACTGGGAGATTGCATGGAAACTGATATATCGAACTGGGAGAATTGATTTTATGATTATTTTATGATATTATGTGGGTAATATTTTAGTCTGGATAATGATAATCAACTGGGTCTCTGGTCACTAACTGTGACAATGACCACTCTCAATGAGAGTGCCACGACAGCTGACAAACAGCCAGACTGTAAAATAGCTGAAAATTAGGCCTTGACATCTCTTACCTCTAATATAAACATGTATTATGCAATCAAATAGTTACAAAATATTGAGCTACTGTACTTTATGATGTATCATCTGCGCAATTAAAACACAATATGAACGAATAGTATTAACGATCTACAAAAACAATACAATAAGCACTCTTTTATGACAGTGTGGCACACAAGCTGACGCAAGCCTAGGCCTACATATTTTTTTAAATACAAACAATAAACAAAAAATACAATATTTAGAAGGCCCAGAGGCAAGCCTAGACCTACGTAGGCCTAGGCTTAATTTGACAATGTTGTTTTGATGAGTCAGGAAGGCCCATCCCATTCTATTTTCAGACCTAGCCTAGGCCTAGGCCTCAATCAAAACAAAACAACAGACAACACTGTCACATATATAGACCATACATACATAACAGCTTTAGAATATACATTACCAGTTGTTCATATCAAGAAAAAAGGCACAGGCATTGGGGTTGGTGTTGCCTGACAGTCTCTGAAACTCACTGATCAACACATCCTTGTCAGTTGTCCCCAATGAACTAAATTTGTTCATGAAATCTTGATCCAATTCCATGTCAACATCCATGGCTGAGAAGTTCAAAATGATCTAATGAAACTTGTAAAATAATCTGTAATAGTAATTGGTAGTCACACTGTTTCTATCTAATCTGGACAAATATGTAAATTCTACGCCATTCTTGTTGCCCGTTTTCGTCTAATGTCTTCAAAATATGTAGGCCAGCTTTCTCTAGCCCAGATTCTACTCTAGTTGATTACGTCCACCCCACAGTGTAGTGCACACTCACTACCATCAAAACATGCAACCTTTCCAAGAGCTAACGCCACCACAACACAGCTACCGCCAATCGCGATCGCAAGACGAATGACTGACGAATGCCGACGTCATTGACAGTCTTCCCATCGTACTCTTGAAGGTCAAACCAGGTCAAACTTAAAGATTTATTTCCGGATTTGTTGATTTGCATGTGGGCGTCATGCATGGTGTGTTTTCATCGTTATAGGAAGTTACATTTTTCACTGAAGTTGAAACTTAAATACCAGAAATGATAAAACGTATAACTATTGTTCGACGTTTGTCGACTTTTCCAATAGTTACGAGAATACAGGATGTTTTTATGCAAGGCCAATATAACAAACGACTTTTGCATGGCCATGGTGGTGATGCAGCATCTGCAAGTGCAAGATGTTTGGCTATTGCTCGAAAGGATAGGCCTAGGCTTAGTTATTATAGACGATTGTGTAAAATTAATTCTCCGCTAATTCAAAATGTTAGACACTTCAATTGCACAACTTTGGTGTGTGCTGAGAGCAATATTCACCCAGGAGAGATAAGAACAAGCATGTTTGCCTGGCAAATTCACAACTATGGAAAAGACAACTTAAATCTTGTTGAAAAACTGGTGCCAGTCATAACAAAGCCAAAGGAATTACTGATCAAAGTGTATGCGTCAAGCATAAACCCCATTGATCTTCGTATGCAAGGAGGTTATGGTGCAGTGCTCTTGAATAAAGGTCGGAGATGCTCATCTGGAGATGAATTTCCGCTAATTCTTGGAAGGGACTGTTCTGGCGTTGTTGTGGATGTTGGTAAAGGGGTGATGGGTATCAAGAAGGGGGATGAAGTTTGGGCTGCTGTCAGTCAAATTAAGCCTGGTTGTCATGCACAGTATGTGTTGATAAATGAAGATGAAGTTTCAAAAAAGCCTGAAAGTTTGACGCATGTACAGGCAGCTTCCCTTCCATATGTTATTTCAACAGTTTGGAGTGCTTTATATGCCATAGCTCGTTTCCGTCCCAAAAAAGAATCAATTGGGAAGTCAGTGCTTATACACGGTGGTAGTGGAGGAGTTGGGTCATTCGCTATCCAGCTAGTAAAAGCATGGAATGGTAAAGTTTCAACAACATGCAGCACCAGCGCAGTTGATATGGTAAAAAAACTTGGAGCCAATCATGTTTACGATTATAAACAATCTGACTTCCAGAATTCGCTTCTGAAAGCTGGTGGATTTGATTTAATACTGGATACAATTGGAGGACCAACAGAAGACCTTTCAATGGAACTCCTCAAATCGGGCTCTCAGCTTATATCTCTAGTCTCACCTTTTATGGCAGACATGGATCGGTACGGTGCTGTTGTTGGATCACTTAGTGCTAGCACAACAATGTTTAAGAAAGCCATGGCTGTATCCAGAAAAGGTGGGAAGTACAGATGGGCATTTGCAACCCCAAATGCTGTTGCCTTGGAAACAATCGCACAGCTGGTTGATGAAGGGAAAATCAGACCCGTTATAGACAGAGTCTTCACATTTAAACAGATTCCAGAAGCTTTTGAGAAACTTGAGAAAGGTCATGCACGGGGCAAAATTGTTATTGATATGGGTGAAGAAAAGATTACCCCAACCTCTTCTGATTTTTACATGAATGCTGCTAACAACTAAATTTGAATTTATGAACTTCTTAATTAAATTGGTGACATAATTCCTGATGATTAATTGAATTATAGAATCAGGATGGCAATTTGCATCATAATTTCATATTATCAAATTGAAAATAATTAGCAATAATAAAGTTTACACGGTGAGAAGTGATGTGTATAGTGTTAAACGTGTTGGTTGCATTTATTTTGGTCACAATTATGTATTGCCAAAGCTAGTTGAAAGCTGTCTCTTATACACATCTAGATGTGTATAAGAGACAGCCCATCGTACTCTTGAAGGTCAAACCAGGTCAAACTTAAAGATTGTATGGTGGCGCTCTCCAACATTATATAACGCTATAAAAAGTACATAAATTACAGACTTGTGGCAAGTCTAGCTAGAGTATCAGTGATCTAATAACAAGTCAGTAAGACCAGCTGCACTGAATGATATAAAATATTCAATTACAGTACTGTATACACAAACAACAGTAGTAACAAAAAATATTGTGTTTAGTTTTATTGCACAACTTTAAAACTAAAATTACTCTAAATCAACACCTTTTAAAATCTATATTTACCAGTAGTTAAAATTACAAAATGAGTATTAGTACTACATGAATATTACAATGCCTAAATATTGTATTGTTAAATTTGTGACATGCTCATTCCAAAGTGGAAAATACTTTTTAGAAAGGTAAAGAATGTTTAATAATTATAAACAATTCTGCAAAAACAGGTTTTTGCAGAATACGCAATGTTAAATATAGTAGTAAAGAAAATTAAGATCATATTAATCTGATTTGTTTTTGAAAAATGTAATTTAAAATTTTTATTTGAATAATGAATTCTGCTGTAAACTGGGTCTCTGTACATTTAAAGAACTGCCCAATTCAAACCTTGTCTTAAAACTTTCCACTTTGGTAATCAGAGTAGATCATATTCTGTTCACATTAAAAAAAAAATCTCAAAGCTCACTACTGTATTCCCTTTAAATTGAACTATAATCTATTCCTGTACATGAATTGTAAGAAGATAGACGGTATTAGATTATGTACAATAAAAAAACGAGTTGATATGCAACATGAGAAAATTAGTGACAGTACTCCCTCTAATTAAAGACTCCTCTAATTAAAGACCACTTTTCTGTGTTCCCAAATTAATGAATGTCTTTTATCTTTATTAATTAAAGACTAAAGCTGCTAAAGACCAGGAAAACCCTAGTCCCAAATGTAGTCTTTAATTGGAGGAAGACCTGTAAAAAATTACAATTTTGCCATCAACTGAGAGGCAACCGATTTTGTTTAATTTGTTCAGGTGACAGTTGAAGACCAGCAGAGCTAGTGGTGAGGCAGGAAAGATGTAGGGATGACAGCTGCCAATAACATGTTATCCACATTGAGAGCAACAGTTCATCCTAACAATTGATATGCATATAAAAATATAATAAAATTATGCTCTGCATTGTAGCTAATCACTGGGGTAGAAGTATGAGGATGTTTATATTTTCAACAAGGGCAACAGGATGAATGTGAGATTGCCATTTAAACAAAAATACTGTACAATTAATGATATGATTGTTTTGAGAAGAACGATTCATGCAGTATTACACAAAATTTTGATAGGAAGTAAATCCCAATTAACATCAATTTGAATTCTGGTGGCATAGTTTCTATTTAATAAAATTTATTAGATTTACTATGTTTTAATAAAATTTATATATTGTATATGATATAATGGTACAGTATACTACTGTGTAAAACTAATCTATAAAAGGTAACATCCTGCTTGCATATAAAATCTAGATATCTATCAAGATCAACGAAAAGTGATTAATAAAAATGTCAATAGTGTCTGTAAGTAAATTAACATTATTAAACCCAGGATTAAACCACATTACATGTAAGAACTTATTTTAAATGAAATCTTTTAAAGACATACTGCTATGTAAATTGAAAGTTGATAACTTTGTTCAATTTATTTAAATCAGAAAACATAAAAAGTAACTTCATTTTTGATGGTTTTCTATATTTTATCTAGCAGTATATCTTTAATATGCTAAAATTCCGCATTTTAAGTTTCAGTATGTACTTACATGTAATACTGTAGTTAAATTTAGCATATTCTATAAAATCAAATTTGAATTTGATTTCATGGAATGTTATAAATAATGTTATTTCTACAAGATGTTTTGATAGTGTAATCTTTCACTATGTCGACCTTGATCACGCTGTCATCACCAGGAGACCACCAAAAACACTAAAATTCCTCGTCGTTTCCAACTTCCAGAAAGACATCGTACGCCTCACGGTTGCAGTTGCCATCTTTATTAAATACACACTTGTGGAAAGTTCCATCAACGCAGGCTGCTATAACTGACGTACCAGATCCAAAGGCACACATACAAGCACACTCAGCAGGCACTGTGAAGTGTGTTAGTCCCCACTGGGATTCTACGTACGGGCCTAGAAAACCAATCTTGCGCAGCCTGTGAATGAAATACGTTTAAAACATGCTTCAAAAATTCTAAACTCGGTGAAAACTCACCTAAATACACATTTCTTTTACTAATTCTGTTTCTAACTTATTGCTTTCTTCCCCTCCTTTATATGTGTAGTTCCAAATATCAGCCGGCACAGTGATTCCTTGAATAAGATTTTTTTGTTTCTTAACATAAAAGCAGTATTACCCCTTTGTGCTTCGCAGTGAATTTGGTTAGAGACCAACATGTACTTAACACATACTATCGTACTAAATCGGTGTTGGCTCATAATTTAATGAATAACAAATTTCAAAATAGTCATGATACATACGTTGATCTTCTGTTTAGTTCAGTTTCTTTTAATGCAAAAACATGAACAGTTCCTTTATCGCTGGAAACACAGAGGTAAGCTGAGTCGTGGCTAAAATTGATACTGTAATAAAAGAGAAGATTTGGGTTTAGAACACTTGAGATATTGTATTGACAGCATTTTGGGTTAAAGAGCTTTTGGTAATTTCCCATCGACTTATAAAAGTGGTTTATTTACCTTGATGTATCGGCATATGCATAAATATTTATTTGAATAATATGACAATGGTAATTTTTATTCATATATAAATGACTAAAAATATATATATGATGGATCCATAGAAAAAATATCAATTTACATAATTATATATATATACACACACACACATATATTAAGAGACAGTATATAAGTAATAATAGTTTTACACCACACATTCATTAAATAGATCACAATTGCAAATTTAAGGGATAATAAACTATTGCTGTCTAAAATATCAATCAGGTTATTTTTAACAAAAAACGTTTGTAATAACGCAATTTAACAGTTTACCAATACAATGTTGCTGGGTCAGATCCTCTTCTTAACTCTACAAGTAGCTTCTTGGAGAATGTGTCAAATACTCGTATTAGTGTGCCCTGAAAATTTGGTAATAAATATAAAACACAAAAAATTAATTTTATTTAATAATTATATTTGTTTTTAGTTATGGTTCTATGGTTTGGCCTATCCCCTTTCAAACCACTTCTGGCAAACAGAATCACCACACATTACATCCTTAGGATTTCAAACCCAAACGTGACAAAATTGTTTACCTTTGTAGATGCTGTAGCTACATAAGACCCTTGCTGGTTGATAGCTACACAAGCTAACTCATTCTGGTGGGCATTGATGAGTGTGGGTGAGTTAGACATTGCAGGTACTGTGTTTGTTAAATCAGCAAGCTGCAGACTACCCAGCTTATGCCCTGGAAATGCTAATAACTGACGGTCTCGACTTGGACAGATCTCACAAAGACCTACAGAGAAAATTGAAGAAACATTACCCTAAAAAAATGCTACATTGAAAATGTGCACTTGACAAAAAAACTTATAAGATAAATAAAGAGAACAACACTGTGACTTCAGACAGCATAAGGACCCCACTTGGAACAGATGGGACATTGTAGGCTTACCAACAACAAATTTGTTAGCTATACAGGTACACTATCACTGGGGTTGGCTAAACTAAGTACAGTACTAATATAATACTGTATTTAGCCTCGATTTTCCTCAAGCCTGCTAGCACTGCATGCACCTCACAGGATCTGGATATACTGGGTTCTTGGTCAACATTATGGCAACTTCTATTTTGTGGAAAAGTGCAAGGTTATGCATATTGATGATAAAAACCCAAATTTTTTTTATTATTTGTTTGGTGATGAAGTGTTTATGATGAAAGAAGAGAGAAGATCTTGGAGTAGTTTGTGATGCTGAACTTAATTTTAGACTTCAAGCTTCCACACTGGCTTCAGTTTTGTAGAACAAAGTTGCTTCAAAATGCTTTTCCTAGAAGAGTGATTACTTTATGGAATTCTAAAGAAGCTGTTGCTGAATCTACAATTAACCACAAGTATATTCTTGATAAGTATTGGGCTAACAATCGGCTCAAATATGCTCTTTATCAGCGGATTGATCTGATAGCATCGAGGGGCCTATTAGCCTATCGTTTTACTAGGGTCTCAATTTCCAGGATAAAATATCCTGGAATTCAGTATATTCAGTATGCATGCATGACAAAATACAGTAATGACAAAAATTATTGTTAAAGATTGATTAATAGATTACCATTTGGATTATCTCTGGTGTCAAAGGCAACAAGTTTGGTAGGATTGTCAGGAAATGAATATACATAGATCCTATTTCTCTGAGCTACAATTAACCTGTTAAAACAAGTAATAATCAAATCATGTTGTTGGTGTTGATAAATGAAATTTAAACACTGTGAATATAAAATCTCAAATGTTAAAAATTATTAATATCTAATTTTGTTTTCTTTTTACTCTACTGTATAAACGAGTAGTCAGAGACACTGGCAACCTATGATATTTAGAGGTGAACTCAATTCATACTTATCCTCCCGGATCCTAACTGCTACAACCGGCATTGAAAATGTTATTTCCAGGACAAATTCCTTCAAATAGTCATCCCAGATCAAAACGGTGTTCTCTGCAAATCGTGGTACTGAGCCACCACCTATGTAAACAATATATATATATCAATATATTGAAATATGTGTCTTACTGTCACGGTAATAATTCTGTCATATCATTACACTACTATCAATATAGAATACTAAGGTGTAATGTGACATCTTTTGTTACTATGCAACTATTGATGCGGTCGTAGCAGCTGAGTGACAAGGCATCCAAGCCATAGTTAATATATCATAGTTGCAATCACAAATTTAAACATTACTTCAATTTCTGTTCAAGTCTACTTGATACTGTAATATATTTCTATATTGCTGTATATTTTTGTATTTTAATATTTTGGTAACAAGCAAAACAAACTTCAATGCTTAGATGTTTAATTAATGATAACTAAGTATTCTTCATTAAGTTAAAATTGTTAATGCCAACATAGAAATAACTCAATGATTTATTCACTTTTATTCCTTCCAAAAGTGCCAACTTTAATGTACAGCAAGAGTCTAACTTACCAACAATTGCAATAAGGTTGGTCCTTTTCAACATCTCCACCTGGCTAACACTTCCAACTTTATCAACGTCTAAATAAGAGCAATAATAAGGTTACTAAAATAGTAAAACTTACCGTCAAATATTGTTTCTTTCACCATTGAGTACTTGGATATTGAAAATAATTAATAAATAAATTTTGATTTAATTTAATAAGACTCATATCCCTCATAATGCAATAAATTTAGTTCATAAAAATGTACAACTTTCTCACTGTTATCAAATTATAAAAACAATTTAACAAAGATCTTAACACATGTGAACATAAGAAAACAGTTGACCATTAAATTTAAACTGATCACCTCAACATATTTTAAAACATTCTTAAAAATAACATTTGTTCAAACCTAAATGTAGTTTTTCTGTTAATGGATCAACATTGTATATTCTAGCTCCACTTTCCATGGCACAGCTCAGGCAGCCTGAAAACAATAATGAGCATAATTTATATCAAACTATTAGGGTCTCAATGAATGGGAATTACCACCGTAAATCAGTTATTTTTTTTTTATAAGTAAACATTCTTTATCTTTTATTCTTTATGAAACCTATATTAAAAACTGTAGTTTGAACATTTGTTCACTCATAACAAAAATGCTTATTTACCTGATACACAATAATTTATTTTTTTTAGTTTCACGGTACTACGTACCATTTATTTCATGCAAGTTTACTTAAATAACATTACAATAAATATGCAAAGATCAGATATACGTAAATTCAAAATGTTTCAAATAAATTGCATGAAAAAGGTCATAAAGAAATCATGGCTTTAAGCTTATAACTGGTCTGTAAATGTATGAATACGAGTGAATAAGATAAAATAAAGTATATGAAAATAAAATAAAAAAGAAAAAATAAATAATAAATAAATAAAAAATATATTCATTGATTTTAACCAGAAATCAGACAACTGCCAATATAAAAGTGATTTTTTTTTTTCATAGAATGAAGTATCTACTATAGTGTTGTATTGAAAATATTGCATTCATGATGGCCTATAAGGTATTATATGCTAACATTTATAGTTAGAAGGTGTAGAGAATATCTGCTATTTGATTTGTTTTAGTCAAAGGATTTCTGTTCTAAAAGTATGTCACAAGGTAGTGACCCCAGGTCATTGACCTCAATGAGTGAGGTGAGAATGTTTTTAGAACTTTGTGAGAGAAGCGAGCGGAATTAGGGGAATGCGAAGGGTCTTGGTTGACGAAAAGTAATGACTCGGTGATGAGTTGTAATTAGCGACAGTAAACCTAGAATGTTCTAGAAGGACAAGAAGGTCTTTTTGCAACCAAAAAGAGTTACAGAATTCCCCAGGAGAAGGGAGTTTGTTTTTGTTTTGATAATCTTCTCGTGGAAGGTTGATAACGCTGGCTAGTGCGAGGACGGTACGCTGGTAGGTGAGAATATAGGCTATTTTGGGATCGGTGATGGAATCCTAGGCCTAGCTAATCTTCATCTGATATTACATCTAGTTTTATGTGGAATTCTCAAAGGACATTTGGAAACCTGTTTACATCGTTATTATTGTACTTGTTGGAATTACTCTCCTATATATAGTTTTGGACAGATACACTTACAGAACTTTGTAAACAATTTGTCAAACATCTTTGGGATTCGTCGTGGGATAATTAACACAATAGATTATTGCCTGTTCGTCTGTGGATCATCAGCCGTCATGCTTTTGTTTACTCCAGCTTATAAACTTGGATCACTAATGGAATTTTTAGTGGACAATTACATTTGGATTAATCAGAACTGGACCAAGTCACCTCATCATCTGTAAATTTGCTTGGTATGAACTTATTTATGCCTAGATGTATAATTATCAGTGGTGATTTATGTAATTTGTATAACTTAGGTCATTTGCCATCGGTACTCCGTAATTGTTTAAATCTAGTGTTCTTCTTTGCTCGAAGTATTTTCATGAAAAGGGAAAGTACCCACTATAATAAATTGTGTTAACTTTTATCGGTTGTCTGTTTGTGTGATTCCTTCTTCTGGTCTGAAGTGTGTCGTAACAATGTGCTTTTGAGTGGTGTTAAGTAGGACCAACTATCCTTCCTAGCTAAGCCTAGGTTAATTTGAGCATGGAGGAAAGCTTCTTTCCTCCATGGTAAAAAGACTAGCCTATCTATCTATCATCAGAATAATTATGTACTCAGATTTATTTAAATACTATTTTACTAAAGATCCCTTCCTAAGCGGCCTAACCTACGGTGTTGCTAGTAGTAATATTCTGTCTCAAGAAATTCGTTTTTGGCGAAATCTGGTCGGGCCAGCTTAGTGGATAGGCCAACCACCAGATTCATTCTCTGGGCTTTAGCTAGGCCTACATTTTGTTGCAATCGCTTAATCCCATCTGGCTCAACAGCGGGGACACAAGCCACCTAGCACCACCAACGACTGGCTGTCTATGGCTAGGCCTACAGCTATACAAACGTAGTTGTAGGTACGTTCATCTTAATAATCTAATTTATATATTAACAGCAATTTCAAATTTACCATGGTCTTGATTGAAACGTAGCTTTAATATTTCTTTACGAGCCATCATAAAGCAGAGATCAAGCCATTATTTTAGAATCCGTCACAGAAACATACTCGTCATACCTTCTACACACACAAAAGCAATATTATTGTAGTGTTGTTCATCCAGACTCTCAAACCTGGGCACTAACAAAAACAGTAGGTATCATACGGTATCATATCAATATCAACCGCTCTGGTGTTACATGAGAACGCATGGTCACTAAGACTACGAAACTTAACTAAACAAAAAGAGTTGACCAAATATTTAACATTTCTGGTACCTTATTATTCCTTTTCCTTTAGTGAGTTATGTCATTTTTTTTTCTTTAGTAACTTTCCTGGATTTTTTCATTTGTTGTGAATTAAAATTGAAAAAACATAGAGTAATAAAAGGAAAACCAAAAAAACTGTTTATTTTGCTTAGATAAAAATAGTATTGGTTAATGATTAAGCGTTCATAGAGTAATTATTATCGATAAAGTGCAATAGGATAAAGTTTAGAAAGACTATGTTCTGCGACGCCTGTACTTTCTTACTTGCTGCCGCCAAACATTTTCCCATATGAGTTCCAAAAAGAGAGAAAGGTCAGAAGAAAGGTCATTGGCTCTGACTATCCTAGTTAGTCACTGCAAACAAAATCAAATCAAAGACTTTAAAAGATGTAGGGTAGGTAAGAATATTTATGATTATGGCACCTCTAGATGGCCAGAAATGACATTCTCAGACATAC